TGCTGCATAGAATGCAACACTAAAAGGTCCCTGGGGGTGAGTTTTACCCGCTGCAGGTCTACGGCACAAGTCGGGCCAAAGCAGCTTTACGGGATTTTAATAGAGAGAATGGCCGGGGTTGATATTTTGACATGGGGGCTAAAACTGGAGGGGTTGTAAACGAGAGGTGGTTATTGGCCGGGTTGGAGTTCCGTTGATATGCAAACGAGCATAAACCTGGGACCAACGGATGTAACATGGGAAAAGATTTGGACAGGGGAGAGTGTTGAGATAATGGGTGTGTTGGTTGATCTTTGGGTTTTGGGATGGAGGGAGGGAGTCTTTTTGTTAATGCACCAATAAGGGATTCATCGTATTGTCACTTCGTTGAAGGCTCTCACACGTTTCAATGAAACTCTGCATTGAACTCAGAACCCAAGTAAAAAATTCATGCATGATGGTCTGATCTATGGTAAAGCTGTTGTATTCTATGTGTATATTTATTTATTTTACATAACTTGGGTCAGTCAGACCTGCTGCCATGTCACTCTTTATTCCCGGCCATTTCCCATTTTGCTGGTCCATCTGCATATCTAATGCAACGCTTACACCCATCCCACCATCCACACTGGCACTTATCTTACAGCACACACATACCCAACTCACCCCCGTCCCGAATTACCCTGCCAGTCACCGTCTTCTCTTCGCTGGTAGGTCACACTTATGCGGGCCGACTTGTAGATACCTTGAAGGTTGGTCAGCTCCACTTCACTGCCGGAGTCTTCTTCGGCGCCCGCCGCCACGCGTGCCGTCGAGGCGTACAGTTCTCTGCTGTGGTGGTCACGGCCGCTGGACAGCTTGTTGAAGTGACTCGATGTTGTCACTGTACCTGAGTGTTTGTTGTAGCCTGAGCCTGTCTGTGTGGTGTTTTGCTTGGAGGAGCGCAGGCCCAGGCCGTGGAGGAGGGATTTGAGAGCCGGGAGAGATACGACGACTATTGCGGCTGCGATCTCCGTCATGGAGAGGACGTCTGTGGGAGCCAGTAAGAATTAAAGTTATAGAAGCCTTGGATAGAGAGGATCACTCACAAACATTGGTCCAGGCGTGAATTGCCTCGACGGTCGCAAATCTACCGATGCTTGCTCCCAGAGTGATGAGTCCAGATGCAAAAATCGCAACCAGACCAGCCTTGTACCGTCTGCTGAGTTGCAGACCAAAAAGAAGCGGAAATGGTAGGGCAAAGACTGCCCATCGTCAGTGATTACTTGAGCAAATTCACTGAACTGAACATACCAAGCATGTCGGAGATGAGATTCATAACCCAATCAATGCGGAAGACAGTCTTTGAGTCAAAAGTACTGCACTCTCCATCAAGCTCCCAATTGACAGATACGTTGGCGCCGCACCAAAACGTATCCAAGAAACAAGTCGTGAGCATAAACGACCCCGTCAAAGCAGTAACTCCATAAAGAAACTTGCGTAGCAGCGGCAGTGTTTGTGGGATGAGCTTAAAGTAAAGTGCCAACAGCGCCAGCTTCGGAAAGTACACGCCCGTATCGTAGAAATAGTTTCCCGCAAACGACACCTTCATCAATGTGATCTGGTCCTCAATACTTCGCGGCGGCGCACTCGGATCATATTCGTCCATTCCTCCCAAATTATACGCAGCCGTGTCGGTTCCAAATAATGCAGCGGCATCGAGGAGAGAGGCGATGAGAAACCAATCGCTGACAGTGAGACTCTGGTGTTGTCGGATTGTTCGAAGGGCTAATCGAGCGAGGACGAGGAGCGTTGATATTCCGAAGAGCACGGCCTCGATGGGCTGCATCGTAGATCGCGGTTAGCAAGCGAGTCATGGCCCTGATCTTGCCAAGAAATGCAGATCTTTGCTCAGGTAGTGGATCAGGACAGATCGGAATGGTAACTTACCACCACGGCCTCTTTAGCGACACCAGCCATATCTCAAGATGCAAAACAGACACTTCAACTCATCAATGAAGAAATTCGAAAACTGAAGACCAACAATCAGGTCTAACGAGATGGGGTTGGCGTCGATTAAATAAAAAGCCGAAGCATTTCTTTTGTGACGTCCTGCATACAGCCTGTGTGCGGCGGTGCCGGCTCCGAAATCAGCACATGAGAATCATCACCATTACACTACAGCACAATCACAATGGACAGCATCATAATTTTTCACAAAATACCCAGTACCGGGGCAGGCACACACACGAGCTGACACACCACAAACGTCGGGACCTTTTGTGAGACGGCTATTATATGCAACTGGCTAAAAACTGTCAAATCCAGGGGTAAAGTGCTTAGGTTGGTTAATGTCAGATCGCGTCACGACGCCACCAGATACGGGGCGCCGTTGGTTTACAAAGAACTGATGAAGCATATTTTACTGGGAACATGCATGCAACGATCCGAATCACTCCATCATAAATCTCAATATGCAGAGGGAACAAAGCAAGGATTCGAAACGGTCGGCGGAAAACGGAGCTTATTGGACGGGAGAACAAGCAAGCAAATTCCCGCAGGACTCGTCCTTCGGCCCTTTGACACGTACTGTTGGCAACTGATTTTCATGCATCTGCGGCACAGTTCAAGGAGATTATACGCTCGAGATGACATTCACCAGTTGATGGTGTTGGATCTCGAATAGGGAGCTCGGAGGGACTTCCCCAAGTGATCGACACGCCAGAAGGAGCCGGTAGAAATTAACCCCTGTAGCCAAGACGTGATGGGAGCATGGGTATTGGCTAATGTGCTGCTAACCGAGGAGTCTCGGGCCGTAGGGGTTTTATTGGTTGCATGCCGCTTTTTCCGAGATCTGAAACGGGGACAAAAGGCGCTCGAGTGAGAGACAAGCTTTGATGCGAGAGATTTATTATGGGCGAAATGTGCTTTGATCAGCGGTGAATCGTCGCCTGGAAATATCTCCACGATTGAAGTGCAGATCACTGGACCGCGAACTTGGCTCTCGGGACTTTGGTAAAAAACACCACTCAGTAGCCGAAAGGTTTACATGCAAAACATCAAAAGAAGCAAACACAATGGGCTGATGTAACTGACAATCATGCCATGCCCCAAAAACCAACCAGTCTCAAAGCCGTTTAGTCAACATTATAAAACCTCCTGCTAAACACTGGTCGAAACGGAATGACTGAAACAATCCCAGGTCCGTTCCCACCTGGTTCTAGAGCTTCTTCACGACGTTGCAATTTTTAACCTTAGCTGAAAGCTTGTCTTTAGCCTTTCGCAACGGGCGGGCGCAAGACTTATTACCTTATTTGTCTAGACCAATCTACTAAATTGCCGAGATTATGAGGCCTTTGGCGAGCTTCGGAGACTTCTTCGTCTGGATTTATTCCCCGGCGGCGAAGTAGTAATTTATTTAAAGTCTTAAAGGGACCTTTTATACGTTGTATCTTGAATGGAGATTAGTCGAGTTTTTTTCGCAGTTGAGGCTTTTGATGAATCCGCTACGGCTGAAGGCGAGGTTACATCGTGCTTCGGGTTCGCATTCTAGAGACCCGAGACTTGCCGCAGAAGCAAAAAGTTTGGATAAAGTGGCACGTTAAAGCATAAAGCGGAACCGATTATCAACTGCAATTCAATCGCCTGCTGATATCCTGCAGAGTTTGACATACCTTGACATCCGAGTAACACCATAAAAGTGAACCTTATCGGCCTATGCTGTCACATCGGCTTACAAAAAGCTCAAGCTTTCATAATAAGGAGGGTAAACAGTTATGAGTGACTACGCTGAGCCGTGTACACTTTTCTGTTATGAATTCACACCCCCTTAGGAAGAAGCCCCACTCCCTTCGTCTATTCTTTCCTGATCTTGTGTGCTTGACTCTGCCTTGACAGGTCTGCGTGACAGTTAACTCCTTCTTCGAGTAATCGGCGGCCTAGCTTCAACGGCTAAGGCATGGTCTGTCAACTCGAGGCTGTTCATAAAACCAGCGTTTGGTGTGCTCTGTTTGCCCTTTTATATCGATCTCTTTGTCACCGTTGTAAACGTGTTATGGTATATTATACCATATATAATTTTCGTTCGCGGGGTCTTATTCATCCAGTGAGACGTGTCGTCGAGACTCAGCCGTGTACAGAGCTTACAAAAGAAAGAGGTTCTCGGGGCAGTATACGGCTGCGACGGTAGGTTATGCAGTATTTGAGCTGCGAAAAAGGGACCAATCCATTTGAAACCTGTACGCCAGCGTCACCAGAAAGTTGCGCAATTGACGGCTGCTGTTGTTACATAGGCAGACAAAGCTGCTGAGGTCGATCGAGGCAGTGATGAGCTGCGGATAAGGATAACGGTAAGGATAAAATGGCCCTGGATTGTCAAGCGGCAGGATGCTATAAGCGTCATCTAGGCAGCCAAATCTGTAAATATTAGTCATATAGGCAAATCGAAAGGAGGGAATAGAGTTGAAAATGTCAAAGGTCTACAATTCCATGCTGTCATGGTGAAAAGAAGTCATAGATACCATATAGGTAACAGTGACTAAAAGCGATATTAAGACCTCACAAAGCTTCGCATCATTAGGGACATTTATTATAAATGGTAATTCCCCAGATCTCTTCTCCCCTGGCAACCGTTAGGGTCCTGCTGGCCTTATAGCTATCTTGACTGTCATTTTTGTTTTAAAAGCTTTTTTGACCTGGCTGAGTGCTAACAGCAAGTGCCAAGAAAAATGTTTTTCTAGAAGAGAGTTGGATTAGCTTATCAGTTTTCAGCATTGACCCGAGACTGGGTAAACTACTAAGCCCAAGAGATCATTCTGCCAACCATATACTCTGTATCAGACACATTCGAATTCGTGTTTTCTGACTTGCTTGATATAAAACTAGAGTATGGCACGTTTGATTTATTTTCTTGGCAGTTTAATTAATTGGATTTCGTTTGTAGATAGCGCTGTTTGAGATATATAAAACTGGTTTTCTCTTGGTCATGTAACGTCAGAGTATAGATATTTATGGTATTTTTCTCTTGAGAATATTCTGATCTATTATTTTAATAAAGCTGCCAGTTTCGTGAAATCAGGCTCGCCCAGGCCCGTTGCAGCATCCCACCCTACAAGAGCCTCCCAACTTGTCTCAAAAAAGTCACCGTCAGCACAGCCTGTTGTTTCACTACCATCTTTGACATCGCGAAAGACCGAGCTCGCCTTTGCTGAATAAAGCCAGCGATTGAGGAATCCCAATGCAGGTTTCTTTGCCCGGATGCGCATGTCGTTGACAAGCGCAATCATAGCTGCAAACACAGGTGCAGATGCGCTCGTGCCGTCATGAGTCGACGGGTTGCCTCCGGTGAGTGTCAGGTAATTATCACCTAGAAGACTGATGTCTGGTTGCGCACGGCCGCTGGCGTTGTAAAAGCCCTTGTGCTTCCCATGTAAGGCTTTTATATAACCGGAGACAGCCTTGTCTTGCCAAGAAGCACGTTTGAAGACATTTGACATACCACCCAGCTATACGAAGCTGCACCGCCATACTCCGCCGTAGCACCAACAGAAGTCATCCAAGGACAGCTCGATGGGAATGAGGGTACAAAGAGTCTCTTTTTGCCGGACACTCCAAGACATGTATTTCCGTCTGTTCCTGCTGCTCCTCCGTCTCCAGAAGATCCGATGATGGAAATCCCACGGGTAGCAGCTTTTGCAAAAAGATCGCAAACGTGTTTCGCATACGCAACTGGTACATCCTTCTCATCGTCGTTGTAAGATATAGAAATGACCTTAGGTGGGTTTTCCAAACCGAGCACATAGTCAAAAAACTCGGCATAAGGCTCATTGCTGTCTGGTGAGACAGGTGCATTCGGAGCTTGCCCGATCTTAGGCCCATGGCCGCCTACCGAGTAGAAAGTGACGGGGAGCGGACCAGTGAAAGCCATTGCGTAGTCAAGGTCAAGTTCAGCCTCGACCGTGAGCGAACCGCCACCAGCCGGAGGTTTCAGGGTACCCTTGTTGATGGATGCGACATTGATTGAAGGGATGAGTTTCGGATTTCTCTTATCATATTTTGTCAAGAAGGCTTTGATGTCGGTGATATTGGGAAAGTTGTTCAGAAATCCAGCTATAGCAATTGTGCTACCCGATTTACCGTCAGCTGGGCTGTAATGAATATTATATTGCGTGCGCAGCTGAGATGGACAGACGCTGTTGGAGCAATTACTAGGCCCAGTGGGTACACGCTGTCTTGCTTGAATCGTTTTTGGAGCCGGTGCTGATCGAAAGAACTGTACTGTAGGATATATATAGCTGATCACGCCCTTTTGTGTGCTCGGAATGCTATACTGAGTTGTGCGAATCATAGTCCGACCAGTGGCCTTGTGTTGGAAGTGGTAAAATGTAGTGTTCAAGACCCGATTCCAGTCAGCAATGGCTGTTATGACATCGACGTAATCGGGACTCGTAGTGTAATTGGATAAGCCCTCGTCTTCAAGCCAACCGGTTACCTTTGCCGAAATGAAACCTTTGTCAGGCACAATAGCTCGCAACTCATGAGCTCCTAAAAACCGGCCATATTGATTGGACTCGGGATCTGATACTTCTTGGGCCACCTTGAGATATGGCTTTTCCAGCTCCGCCAGATGAATTCTCAAGGACAATAGTTCATCCTGAGGCGCCGCTTCTAGTTGTACATAGTCCTTTGGAGAATTATGAAGAGACTCGTGCCTGAGAGAAGCACAGAATGGAGCAAGCGCCAACATACAAGCGAGATGTCTGTGTCGCATGATGGATAATAAAAAACTATTGATGTCTGACAGGCAGTAGCAATTGAGAGGAAACGGGTCCAATGATTCTATTACATTTGATGCTGTGTTACATGCGGATGGAGCCACTCTATTATGTGACGAGGAGAGGTTCTGAGATACCGACCTAATTGGTTCAGGTGTTTAGGAAGTCCAAATCACGTCACGATAATGTGGTTCTCGTATAGATAAATCGTATGAAGATGCTTGATTGAGAATTTCATTATCTCTTGAGTGACAAAAGTAGAGCCTTTCACAACAGTCTGATTATGAAAACATGCATGATTGGATATGATACGAAGTCTTGTAGATCTTCCCTAATCCTCATACGACTTGGGAAGGACTTTATCCGTTGACGGACTAGTCCATGTCGCAGTCGCCAGCGCGATTTAAGTTTGAATGATCTCCAATACGAGAGATCGACGAATTTAACTGGTAATTTTGAATCTGCTGTGTCCAAGCTTCGGCACTCGGCAAGAGTTTCTAGAGGGTTTACCAATTGATTGGATGATGTGAATCTCGACATGGTCTAGGCCTATCTTAGTATGTAGCCCTCGTATAGTCTGTTCCGTATTTAAATTCCACGAGAATCATGCAATTCGGTTCAGCCATATCTCATACCAAAACTTACCACTTGGCCGAAATGTTACTCATGATTAGTATTCTCTCAATCGCATCGTTCCAAGGTGCAATTGCTGCCTCTCCACCACAGCCCCAATCTCCCATCATCCCCATTTCATACAGCTACGGGGGCTATCCTCGGTGAGCCATGCTTGTCTCCCATCTTAAAGTCATGCAAAAACTGATGCTCGCGTTGTAGCATCCAGGCCGACATCAAGTGGGGTACACCGGGACAATCTCCTATTCCCACAATCTTTGACACTGGCTCTCCCAGTTTCTGGGTTTTTGGTCCCAAGTCGACCATCAACGATGGCTCCGATGCGCATTACGTGCAGGGTCCTTGCAACAAGACTGTCAAGACTTTTTACAATTGGCCCAAGTCAACTTCACATTCTAAAGGAGGCCCTACCAAGCCCAAAGGAGGATCTTTAAGCTATGCCTATGGCGGTAATGGCAAGCTCATATCAGCATCGAGCCTCATCAACGACACATTCGCCTTTTCCAATCCAAATTTTGCCAAGTTGACTAATAACCAAGTGGCATTGGCGGATTATGCACAGATCACTCAACTCGACGACAAATGTAAGATCCCCGAAAGTGATTTTGATCATAGCATCCTTGGCCTGGCACCACTTTCGCAGGGTTTCTCTGGACCGTCTTTTCGTGATAACCTGCGTCGTACTGGGAAAACGCGTTCTTCTTCTTTCACAATGTGGTTTGATCAACAACCCAAGTCTGTCAAGTCGCCATACTCCGGCGCAGCCGTATTCGGTGCCGCACCTATACGAAAGAAGTATATCGGTGAGCTCGTACGCATCAAGCAGGATTACCCTGAGGATCCTTATGTGGGATATTATTCGGCTCTGCCGGAGCTGACTGTCACATCGATTCGCAAGCCGGGCAAGTCTGTCAAGATTGGCGCAGCGGATTCTTCGGTCAAGCGGTGCCTGCTTGATTCTGGCACAGGCGAGGATCGTGTACCTTTTAGTGAGAAGGAGATCATCACGGCAACCGGGCTAATCCACCTGCAAGTCCCGTACGTAATTGCATGGAACGGGACTTGCGAGTCGATTCCACGTACTGCCACGTTCAACTTCACATTCGCCGGAGTTACCAAGGGCAAGAGCGTCACTGTTGCTGTGCCTATTCGTAGCTACGCCCGTGGTGAATTCGATGGGATACCTGGGTACGACACTTCCAAGGTCTGTGCCTTGAGCCTTTCGGGCGACGAGTTTGGTGACTGTACCCTTGGTGCTCCATTCTTCACAGCTGCTTATGCCGTTTTCCACGATGATCAGAAACAGATAGCGCTCGCTCAGGGTGGTGTTTCCACTGGAACAGGTGACTCTGCAGTTGGAATTGGTCATCTCACGCCTATCCTGCCGAGTTCTAACATTCCGAATTCAGTTTAAATAAGTTTACAGTTTAGGAATTCTTTAGAATAAACAGTAAATGGGTTTTAAGCTAATGTGTATAATAATAATAAATATCCTAAACTTATACATATTTATAGCCATTTTAGGCTTAGTGTAAACTCCTTATAAGGTTTATAAATTTCAACTTTAAGGCAATGTAGTTAATATAAGCACTTCAAATAAGTAAGTAAGTTAGGTAGCCTTTAGTAAAAAGGGCATATTAAAAGAGAAAGGCTATAATTTAGATATAAAGACATATCTATTAGAGTAGCACTAAATAGGCATATGGCTTTTTAGTATTTACTATAAAGTGGTAATACTATAGAAGTTTATTTAAAAGGTAGATATATAATAAAGTATTCAATGCCAGTATTTTAAATTAAGTTAAGTGTGGTTTTTAGTAAGTTATAGAAGTTAAAAGATTTAAGGTATAAAAAGGTAGCCTACCAATTAATAAACCACACTATATAGTAATGACTATATCTTAAGTATATCTTTTAATATATTCTTTTATAACTATCTATAATTAAGCTTTAAAGATTGAGTAATGAGAGAAGTTCGGTGATAAATGAATCCAGCACGGTAGGCTTAAGGCTTGGCCTTATAACAACTCGCAAAACCTCTATGTCCTCTCCGTGGGTAGGTAGTTTAGAGCCTAAAGCTATTGTCAAACGCAATAACGAACAGAAAGACCGAGTGTTTACTTACATGGAACACTATAACCCTTGTCAAAGAGTTGATCACTGATCCACTGCTCAGTAAATTCCGGACGTTGGTCTTGTACTGCAGGATTTACACGGAATACAACTACAGGTAGAGTGTTTGCCGTGGCCCTGTGGGATTCACTGATGCATGTGAATATTCCCGTTCCTTCCAAAGTCTTGCCTAGAGCACTAGATCGCTGTAATAGATCTTGGATGATGTTTTCAAACCCTTGACGACCTAGACGAGCTAAATGATAATATTGGATTAACACGCTACTTGAAGATTGAGAGTATCGGAGTGTTGGAAGCTCATGGTGGCCTGAAAGGTATGAAGATTGGTGGAGCATGTCCGAGGGTAGGAATCTCTGGTCGCGCCATATAATCCAGCCCAAAGCCGCAGCTGTAAGACCGAACTTATGGCCGGACGCGTTTATAGAGATAACGCGGGGTATAGTAAAGTCCCTGAAAGGTCAGTTTAGCAAAAGGTTATGACTCGCCTATAGGCCTTATTATCATCCCTGGACTTACCATCGACTAGGATTTCCACAGTTGAATGGCGCAACGAATCCACCACTGGCTGCATCCACATGAATGGGAATATTACGACCATATAACTGTTCGTAGTTGTCGAGAACGGTATTGACGTTCTCTATTGGGTCAAAATGCCCCGTATACGTATTACCCAATACCAAGACAACCCCAACTAAACATTTGTCAATAACTTTAAGACCAGTGAAGCGTCTTGACTAACTTACTTGTAGAATTATCCAATAGTCCCTGCATTTTGGACGGGTCAAAGCTATAATTACTTTCTGGCCCTACGTCCACTGACCGAATCTCAATGTCGTTTGCTTTAGCTGCATTTGTCACCGCGACGTGAGCATGACTTCCTGTGATTATATTGAGTGTAGGACCATTGAAAGAGGCCACACCTCCGTTTTCTGTCTGCCATTTTCGTTTCATAGCCAGAATAGCAAGGAAGATGGCCTCAGAACTGCCAGACGTCGCCCACCCAGTCGGCTTCTCGTTGCATGATGCACCCCATACTGTTCCTAGTATTTCAACGCACCGATCATGTATCCTATTTATGATTAGAAATTTGGACATCCATTGACTTCCCGTATGTACTTACTCGCGAACACCAGGGTATTCGTTTTGGCAAGCGAGGTTTTTCTTGTAGCTCTCTATAAGAAGCCTTTCTCCAATATCGTTCAGACCAGTAGATACAAAACTGTATACGTAAAAGTCTCAGCAATTAAAGGGAGGAGAAATAGGAACTTGAATTAGCTGACCTCCCAAGATTGTGCTCGGGTTCTATATCATGCTCAAGCAGATGATCAATACCCGATTTAACAATCGACGCTGGCAGCCCATTGCCAAGATTGTCTGTTGGAAGGCCAGCAAAGATCTCTTCGGAACTCTGGTAACTGTCTGGGTCCATTGCAAGTGTCAACAGTTTTTGTGACTTTCTAGAAAAGGGGGGATATATGATATCTGTCGAGAGTTAACAAAATTGCTCTTTATATATGCCTCTAGGATGTAAAAAGAATGTAGGATGTTAAATCCAGCTTGATTTCTACTTTAATTTGATCTGGCACATCGGGAATGAGATCATGGAAGTTCCTTGTTTTTTGTCTCCGGGGCGTATAAGTTGGAGCTGCGACGTCAGGAAGCCTATCTAGCCAATTACTAGTAACTAGCTTTTTTTCGACTTGGACATCATTGTGTGACAACAATTCAACACGGCACATCTGCCGTAGGTCTGTACACCCATATCGTATCTTGAGGCCAGCATGCTGCACTGAGCGAAAATAGGATGTCTCATGTGGCACACTGTGGTGGAGACCCTATCGACAAATGATTTCTTTGTTGTTTATGCGTTGCCAGCCCTCAACCAACGAACACCAGTGGAAGTATTACGCGCTACTGCAGAGTGAATATAACGACACGGCAGAGAACGCCACAGGCATTGTCATTCGCCGCAGCATTTCCAATTACGATAACAGCCGGTCCACCAACTTTTCTATTTCTATGACGTTGATGGAGCTATTCATCTTTCACACGAAGACATCCAAGTTGGCCAGAATGACGCATTCTTCAGGCCCATCTTCCGTCTTGCATTTCCAAGGTTTTCACCACATTTATGATGCAATTGTTTCGGCATCCGTTCATTCCGGATGAACTGGAGAGAGATACTTGAAGCGGTATCCAATTGTAAGACGACAAAAAGATTATTTCGTAGCAATAAACATTATCAGTTGGTTTTCACCTCGTGTTCGTACTACTATCGAGGTATCTGATAAACCTTGAACAACGATATATAACGAGAGGTAATTCCCTTCTAAATCTTTATAGCTTATAGAGCAAAAAACTAAGCTTTTAACCTAAACACATTTATCCGAAATTTCTTTTGAATATCTTTATACCTTCACCTTTCGCCAAATCTAACGATGCATTCCACCAAAACTGATACGACAACTTCGGCTGGTTCCTCAGATAAGACACTTTGGTCTCATTCTGCTGATGGATCTCACTCATCGGACGGCCATCCTGTTTTGAGCTTCTACCATCGTGAAGCTCGTATTGCAATGGAAAAGCTCAATGAATTCTGCAAGGCACATGATGCAACTCCTCAATCTGTGTGTTTCACTACCTGGTCGATTGTACTCTACCACATGGCAGGACAAAGTGACATTTCTGTGGATGTTGAAAGTCACTATCCGATGGCTCTTGCAGAGCGACCTGAAGGTAGAACATTCAACATGACACTAAGGAGTACTACAACACCACTTGAGCTGATCACCCAGTACAAAGTCTCTGAAATTTCATCGTCTAGGGAGACGGCAACTCAGGAACCAAGCATCTCAAACGTCAAAGACAAGCACATGTTCAAAATGATACAAGAGGCAAAGGTGTTCCAAGATGAGCTCGATAGAACAGTTTCCTCTAGCCTTGTAAGCTCACAATCATGAAAGTAAGACGGGCCTGGAGCTCATAACTAATGATAACAGGATTACGTTTCCTACGCCCATTTATTGATCGAATCGGATACTGCTACGCTCAAGTTTCTTTGGAGAAACGACCTCCAAGATCAGGAAGAAATAGCCAATATCCTCGATCATACATATAACTGTATACTTTCCCAGCCAGACGCTTCGATACAGTCGATGGGTAGTCCTACTCTGAGACAACTAGAACTACTTTCCACCAAGCCTGAAGCAGACTCAAGCTTCAACATCCTGGACCTGTTTTGTCTTACAAGTTCCACGTTCCCATCCAGAACAGCTATCAATGCATGGGATGGCGATCTATCATATCAGGAACTTCAGAATACTTCTGAACGATGGGCCAAAGCTTTGCTATCACTTGGCCTGACTGCGGGTGATAGAGTTATCCATGCGTTTGAACAATCTCGGTGCGCAATTGTTGCCTGGCTGGCCATCCTCAAAGCTGGTTGTACCGTCGTGCCGATAAACCTACCAACGCCAACTGAGAGACTTAGAACTATCATAGACTCGACAACATGCAAAGCAGCGATTTGTGACACGACCGGCTCTTCACATATTGGCCCCATTTCATTGCTTTTACTTACCCCATCCGACCTAGATGCAAGTGGTAAAGAAGGCAACATTGAACTCAAAAAAGTCAGTACTTCGAGCATTGCCGTCATCATTTTTACCTCAGGATCTACCGGCCAACCCAAAGGTGTCGTTCAAACACACGGTGCCATTGCGAGTAGCCTAGTAAAGGTCACGAAGGTATTGGGACTGGATGAAGAAAGCAAGTTTCTGCAATTCGCTCCGCATTGCTTTGATGCAAGTATCTGCGAGATATTCGGCACACTTGTCACCGGTGGCTGCTTGTGCATTCCAGCCCCTGATAAGAAGCTAAAATGCATCGCCAAAAACATCAACAGGATGGAGATTACCCATGCCATCTTGACACCTACAGTTGCAAAGATGTTATCGCCAGATCGCGTGCCAAGCCTCCAAAGTCTGAGTGTAGGTGGGGAGCCTTGTTCTTCGGACCTTCGTGAAACTTGGTCGCCTCATTTACAGTTCAACATATTATATGGCGCGACCGAGGGTGGAGTGTGGGATACCATCAAGCGTGTCAGTCCTGATGACGACTTAAGCGCTCCCAGCATCGGGTTTCCCATCAACAGCCGCGTTTGGATAGTGCATCCAGACGACTGGACTATGCTCTCCCCTTTAGGGGTTCCAGGGGAGATATGCATCCAAGGGCCAGAAATCGCTTCAGGCTACCTTGAAGACGAGCAAAAGACCAAGGAAGTTTTCAAGCTAAACCCCCCGTGGCTAGCCACAGAACAAGGCCCTCTGTCAGGTTGCTCCCGGATCTTTCGAACCGGCGATCGTGGACTAGTCATGAAGGATGGCAGTCTGCGTATCCTTGGTCGCATAGATCGCCAAGTTAAGATTAACGGCCAGCGAATCGAACCTGGAGAAATCGAGGAAACATTGAGGCAACATTTACCTGATCACCTAAATGTATTTGTTGACACCTTCACACCTCGAGGAGATAAATCAAGGCTAGTTGCGTTTTTCTCCCATGGAAAGAGCTCTGAGCCTTCACTGATGCAAGAAACCGACCTGGACCCGGCGGCTCGTGATGCCATTCGTTCGTCTCGAGACGTTCTACCTGACATCATGGTGCCGTCAGTTACAATCCCCATCGCAGCCTTCCCAATGACCCAAACGAACAAGGTCGACCCTCAAGCAATTAGGAAACTTGGTACTGCCTTCTTCGATTCCCAGAATATGTCCTCCCCTCTGAGCCATGCCACTAGAGATTCAAAATCTGAGAACAATAACAGAACAAAGGCCAAAAATGTCGTCCAAAAGTTCTTGCACGAACTCGGAAATGGCTGTACAAAAGGCTTGGAAGATCCTAAAGCTACTTTTAAAGACTTAGGTATCGATTCTATGGATGCGGTGTCATTAGCCTCAGCTTTAGAACGGGAAGCGCATATCGATTTATCTGCATCCAAGCTCATGGACCCAAATTTTCGCGTTGATGACCTCGCAGACGTGTCTGAAGACGAAGGCAAGGACGGAAGAAGTCTCTTAAACAGCGAGATCGACAAATGGACAAAGAAGCTTAGCAAAATTGGCCGTTCTCGAGGTCATTGTGTCCTCTTGACAGGCCCTAACGGATTTCTTGGCCGAGAAATTCTACGTCAAGTCCTTCAGTGCCGTCTGAAACCAACAGTTACTTGTCTGATGCGAGGTAAGGATTACCATCACGCTCAGGAAAGATTTTTCAACAGTTGTCGAGAACTTTCTTGGTGGAGTGACTCACTTGAAGAGCGTGTGCAAATTTGGGTCGGTGATCTGACCCAGCCTCAAGCCGGTCTTGATGAGCGCCAATGGGATACTATCTTTGGCCTAAATGGTCAGCCTCGACAATTCGATTTTATCATCCATAATGGGGCAATTGTGAACTGGCTAGAGCCTTACGGATCCCTTCAAAAGACCAATGTCTTTAGTACACACGAGTTTCTCGCCGGCTTCCTACAATCACAGGACCCTCCCCAGACTATTTATGTATCTGGTGGCTATCTGTCTGGTTTTGAAGAAACGCGCGAAGAGTTGGTGGAAAACATCAGCCAACTGCCTGCCTATGACCAGACAAAGTTTGTGTCTGAGGTTATGGTGACGCATGTACAGTCGATGATGGACGTGGGGGGAAGTCGTCTATGGACATTCAAACCTGGATTCATCGTTGGGTCAACCGAAAATGGACATGCTCAGACTGGCGACACGCTTTGGCGTATGGCCAAGGCATGCGTCCAAGGTGGATCCTACAGCAAGGATGATGCCTGCAATTGGATCACTGCTGCTGGTGTTGATACCGTCGCATCTATGCTCGTTGATCAGATGTTGTCACCAGCATCTGACTCATGTGCCACGCAAACCCAGAAGCTACTTGATGGAGTATATCTCCAAGAAATATGGGATATTCTGGAAATGATGGATATACATCTTCGGCCTTTAAAACATGAAGAGTGGTTTGAGGTGATTCAGAAGGACCTACAAGAAAGAGGTAAGTCACATCCTTTATTTCCATTAAAGGAGTGGTTCAGAGAAACTAGAGGCTTCATGGGGATAGAGAAGCCAGCAAGTGACATTGTCAGTGAAGAGAATTGCCGCAAATCTCGAGAAGCTATAGTGAGAAGTTTGGAGTTTTTAGCCTCTTCAGGTTTCTTTAGTGATGGAATAAGTTCTACCACTACTTAAATACCGAGTTCTAGGTAGATTATATAGAAAATTAATGATCTTTTTTTATAATTGCATTTATTTTTAGGTATTGTCTGGTCGGGGTTAGCCCGCTGATGCTTTCCACCATCATATGACCGCTCTGGTATGTTTGTACACTGTACTTACATAAGTATTGTACTGGTATGATGCGCCTTGTGCGCCTTGGCGAGTCGTCGAACAACTTAGCGGATCTCCTCACTACTATGGCATTCCTTGGTTTGAGTATTTCTTCAGGGCCTTCACTTCTAGTTTGCCAGTATCAACGCCACAAGATAACGAAGCTATACTGCTCTTGTCATCTGTGTAGACAACCTAAACTTTAACCTTATGGCGAGCAACGATTTCTATAATTGAGATAGCGATGACATTTTTGGTGTCTTGCAATGGGATTCTTCAAGGTATGTTAAACTTATTCTATCTCCAAGAACACTTATTTCAGTGTCCCATCTCAGAATACCTTCATCTCCTGTACTAAGTCTTGATCACCATATACGTTCTAACAAATACTACAGTGATCAATAGCATCATGGCCACGAGGGAGTTACTCATCGTCATCCTGAACCACACCAACGAGGAGCTCACCGCAGAGCCTGAATGGCCACATCTCAACCGCGGCAATTGGACCAAAAGTCCAGACTTACAGCCACCACAGACAATCCTAACAGGTGAGACTGGCATGCTGCGCTGCAAGTCGAGTCACATAGGCGAAGGTATCGACGGTTCAATCACGTACCGCATCATCAGATTCGAAGGGAGAAACGAACTTGCGTTTATGTGGAGCGTCCCGTATGTCGGGGCAAATAAATTCGACGCCTGTTGTGCTGTATCCGACTTCACAGTTGAGGTCTTGGGCGGGCGGGGTAAGGAGGCGGTCGTTGTCTTTTTGTTTGGTGAGTCTGATGCTTGTTATTTTGGCAGTGAATGCTAATGACTTTGCAGGATCCGCGAAGATGACAGATGTGAGACCCGGTGATGGTGTGTGGGCAGCAGTGACTAGATATCCTGTTGAGTGCGCTAAGGGTCTTGTGGGTGGCTTCAACCATCATTGAATCAACAAATTGTCATTGCGTTTATGAGTTATTGGCTGGTTGCTTTGTAATAGTCCGAGTAAGATTAACTAGATAGTATTTGCCGCAACAGGTTCAATCTGTTTACGTTGTGGCATATTCCGCGGATCAATGAAAGTATATACTTCGGCTTCCGCCGTTTGTGGCTGCTTACTCCAAACTTGAACGTTACCCCGCATGCCCCTCCCCAAGCTCAAACGGTGTGAGATGGATTGTGGCCTAGACATTGTCTGTCGGTTCAACATTTCGCTGATAGCCATGGATCTTTGGGTCGCCTCTTGAGTACAAGAATTATCAGTCGACCGTCTGGATACTGTAATGGAATGATTCAGGCTTACTTGGCAAGCTTTTCCGCATGTTGCTTCATATCGGCTTTTGTCTCGTCGAGCTTGATATAAGTACGGAAAACGTATATGCCCTACATTTGGTCGCCTTAGCTCTGTCGCTTTTTTGCTTGACATAGAAAATTACTCACAAGAACGCCACTCAGAAGATGGAGAAACCACGCAATGAATGCAAAGGCAAGGGCTGTCCGCCACGAGGCGCAACCCGCCGCGTCAACATTGACTGTCCCAACAGGTCCAACCCGCCAAAGTCGACCCCAGTAGTAGCCCCAATAGTTGTAATACCAACTCGCAGAACAGGTATGACTACCGGTTCTCTGCGAAGATTAGATCAGTAGATGTTGTCAGCTGCGGGATGATGGGGTATTACCGTCTGAAGCAAGCAGTATGCCACGAGCCACATGACAAACATGACAAAGTCAAAGGGAAAGCCCAAGAACATGGCCTTGAAAGGCGGACAGAAACAGATGGAGTAAAGAATGCCGAGACATGCGACGACGATGGTGTAGATGATGCGTCCGTCGACATGGGCTTCCGCGATGCCCGCAAGGTAGCAGAAGCGCGAGAGGATACCCAAGACAATTATGGCGGAGGATAGCTCGCAAAGACGGAGAATAACAGAGATGATCTTGTGCGCGACACCGGTTTCTGCCATCTTGGAAGAGTCAGGATTGAAGATATAATAATATTGGAGGTTATTCGAAGTTTGGTGTTTTGCTACTCAGGTCATCACGAGAGTGCAGAGCGAACAGTGCTATATATATTCATGAACGGTCTGATCAATGGCTACAGTAGCGCTACTTCTGATTGAAGTATGTTATATATGGATTCAAGATGTTCTGGGCTCAGTGTTATGTTTGCCCGCTGTCGTATCATATGGCAAACAGTTTCAGCCACCGCAAAGCCATTCGTTGAAGTGGATTGGGATAAGACATAGGTCTATTCGGTAAGTTGCCATCACATGCAAGAAGATGCAAATTTGCTGCTACAAACAAGTCATGTATCGTGGCGCTTGTCAACCAGAGCTGACACAGTGCAACTACATTCATTTATTGGAGAATAGCCGAATGGAACTAGATATGTAATAAGCCACAGCCTCAGTATGACGTGTTTTGTGAACCTTGACTTGGCTGACCTGACAGGCAACTCGTAACAGCATATGCTGTGGCACATCAAACACCCAAGCCCCAAGGCTCGGCATATCGCGCAAACTCTTGATCCTTCTCCAATTGGTCATAGCAACGCTCCTCCAAACCACAGCGGACTGCGATATCCTGATTGCCACTAGCATTCCAAACTCCGGCTCTAAACGGAAGTACAAAGAAGAAGCCTTCAAAGTTAGGATGTGGCCATCGGAATTCGCCAGGCTTACCAAAGCCAAAGCCAAAGTCATGGTTGTCGCATGACTTCATGGTATGCCAGCCAAAGGCTATGTAGTCGAGATTAAGCAACCAATGCATGTCTGGATCAGACCATTAGTGGTTTGAAGACCTAGCTGCATATCTGATCGGGTCTGATATAGATTCTGCGTTGATAGAGTTGGTGCTCTCGCGAACTGCTTGAGCAAGAACTGTTAGGGTCAACTCTAGACCACCAAGAACCTATGAAAGCAGTAAGAGCATTGAACTGTAGAATGGCAATTTCAGTGCCGATGTATCGATCTGAAATGGGGAAGTCAGTACGTCCATTTCTCAGAGAGGTAATGAGGTTCAGTCATTGAAGGCGTGTGTATCAAGATCTATAATGATGGAATAGCATTCGTGCCGTTGTTTGAGACCGATGCTGGGCTCCGTTTAATCCTTTTGCTATCGACTATTGTCCGTCAAAGATTGCCGTCTCCCAGTCCACTTCACCCGTACAAGCTCTGCCCGCTCAGAGACATCCAATAGCGTCCGAGGCACCACGCAATACCCCAAACCAAGCTCATCCAGCATCTCACAAAAGTTGTAAAAAGTTTGCATCCATTCATCATAGCTCCCAGGCATCAGCCGCACGCCATCATCCATGAGCCACGGTGTGCCGGCTTCACAAACCACAATCAGAGACCTCTCCATTCTCGCCTTGACTTGTTTCCACCCATCGAGCCCCTGAAGCTGTTCAACTGCACCTGGGGCGGCATATCGCTTTGCGTAGACTAATGGGTCGAACCCGGAACGGTCGGAGATGAACCAGCTCGAGGTCTTGAGAGCTTCCTTCTCGGCTGCTGCTTGCGCTTCGAGGATGAGCTGCTGGAGTTCGAAGCACCTGGTCGTTGATGCTTGGATATCTTCAGCTGAGTATTTATTTTTTGCGAGAACAGTTCTGGCGACTTCGGAGACGATATGTGGCTTGTCGATTGATGTGTCAGCGAGCCAGTGCTCTAGATCGGCCTTCAGCTTGTTGACGAGTGTTGTCTTGCCTGTGGATTGAGGGCCGATGATATAAATATTGGGGATATACGCATTCGAAGACATGGTGAGCTTGATGGGGATAAATGTGATTACGTAGACTCTCTGAAGTGTGAGAAAGTGAGGGGGTCAGCATGCCGTGTAACTCACCAACGTCCAATGATAATGGCGATGATTCACCGACCGCGCTGAGCTCAATTCCATTGGATGAGCTCATCTGCCGTTTTCTCTCATTTCTAAAGGCCTCACTCTTTCGTCTCCTCATCCGGAACTGAATCTCAAGCCCCTCTCTCAAGCAGCCAGCTAAAATGGCTTCTCAGAAGTCTAACAGAAGTTTTCATCACACATTGCTTTCAACCTTGAGTCTCGACGATATTGTCTGGGATTTCCAAGTCCCGAATCTTCCATCACCATCTACTCTGAAGAATGCCAATCTCATCAAGGCGATTGCTCTTCACACAGACCTCAACGAATGCAGGCACTCCATGACCCTCAAAGTTCAGTCCAACACGCCAAATCGCGCCACAGCCGAACACGCGACCGATCGATTAATGCTCTTCTCACTCGAAGCCTTCAAACCGCTCGTTTTCGGTGTCGCAGCAAAAGAGCAGCAGCCAGCACCAGATCTTCAGCCCCGTACGCGCCAAGAGGTTTCCGACTACAGCATCAAATGTCTGCGCGCTGGAATCATTTTGAACGGCGTGCACTATAATTTTTACGGGCACAGTAATACGCAGCTCAAGTCGCGATCATGTTTTCTCATGGCGGCGACGAAAGAGGAGATCTCGAGGCAGATTGAAGGCATGGGGGATTTTACAAAGATGAAGACAGTGGGTAAGAAGGCCAAGCGGATTGGTCTTCTCTTCTCGTCTTCCAAGACGGCCATGATCATTAATCCCGACCGATGTGAGGATATTCCGGACATTGAGACGGATGATTACGTCTTCACTGATGGCTGTGGATTGATTGCGCCCAGTCTTGCACAAGAGTTGGCGCGACGAACAAGAATCATCTTTCGAGATAGCCGATACAGACCTTCGGTCTTCCAGCTTCGCTATCGAGGATACAAAGGTGTCGTCACTGTTGATCCTCGAATGAAGAATCAGAAGGCGTTGCTGAAGCTTCGAAAGTCGATGAAGAAGTTCAGTGGCGGCGATGACTACTCTTTTGCGGTAGTTGAGCACTCCAAGGTAAACATTCAAGTGACCGATTAATCCTCGCTGACCACTTCGCGTTGCAGCCTTTCTCCTACGGGTTCCTCAACGACGAGAGCATCATCCTTCTCCACGCTCTGGGCATCTCAAAGGATACCCTCCTCTCCAAGCAGCGCCATCATTTTAATCTTCTCAGCAACGCCAGATCCGACTTCCGCGATGCATTCCGCTTCTTGAGCTACGTCAATCGTACAGATCTCGCAGAACGCGTGCTCCTCGAAGGGCATGAGAGCGTAAAGTCCCAGATCAACGGGCAAATCAACGACGAACTAAAGAAGATGCTGAACAAGCAGGGCGGCCAAAAGTGTCGCGTCTTCGTACAAAAGTCCCGACTCCTCTTTGGAGTTTGTGACGCTTGGGATGTTTTGAGGGAAGGCGAGTGTGCGGTCAAAGTAACGCTTGAGGAGAATGGCTTGCCGCATGCTTTGAAGAACACCGAGATCATTGTCATCAGAAACCCGTGTCTTCATCCAGGCGACTGGCAGAAGTTCAGAGTTGTTGAACGGCCTGAGCTTTCGCATCTGGTTGACTGCATTGTCTTTTCGACGCGAGGAAGAAGACCAGCTGCTGACCTGATGTCTGGTGGCGATCTAGACGGCGACACATGTGAGTGAACATGTAGACTTGGAGTTTATTTGCTGATCATTTACAGTCTTTGTATCCTGGGACCCCGACCTGATCCCCTCAACAGTCTCAGGTCCAGCGCTATACCCCGTTGGCCGAGAACCAATCCAGTTCAAACCCATCACAGACGACGACCGTCTCGTTTATTTCGCAAAGTACCAAAATGCATCTCTTGGGAGAGTAAAGAATCTATATCTCGATTGGGCTCGAGTCGCCGGCCCTATGAGCGCTCAGTGTCAAGAACTCAATCGACTCTTTTCGCAATGTGTGGATGGGAATCGGATCAGGATCCCCGACAAGCTGTGCACTGCCACTAAGCCATTGCCTGATGCGCCGCCATTCATACTTGATGTTCTCCACGATGACGCGAAAGAATGGGTACGTCGACTGGCTGTGACTCAAGATGGCGATCTGGCGGGGTATGACTTTGACGCTATTCAGCTATTGTTTAGTCGTGAGGATGTTGCAATTGGTGAGTTTGAATGTGTCAAACTGGCATATTCATGGTGTCTCAAGAACAAGACGCCCTTTGAGAGCCTGCTCCATCTCTTCGACTTTAATATTCTCACGGTAGATCAAAAAGCATGGGTCCTCGCTCATGTACCAGGGTCTGCAACTGTGACGGGATTGGTCCAGAATGCTCTATGCTCGTCGGGCATACTTCGTCCACCAGAGCTTCAACAGTTCCATTTGGACTACCCCGGTATCAAGTGGAAGAGAACGTACGACTCGTCGATGGATCGCCTCGCAACATTCCACGAAGCTGTTGCAACGAACCTAGAGTTATTCCAGCGCACGCTCATCGTATTCCAACCAGATGAGCGTTTATCCCTTGCGGTCTATATCCCCAAGAAGATTGATCGTTCGCAAGACTGCCTCATCGACAACACTGGGCGCCTTTTCGCGTTCCCTCATTCACAAGGCCCACAAAGACAGGCCCGTCTCTCGCTACCGACCAAGATGCAGTATCAGCTCTACTGTGACGGAAACGTCTTTCAGCTCTTTGAGAAGCAGCGAGGAAACTCGTGGGTCTTTATCTCTAGACCTGGAAATAATGACCAAGACTACCGCAATGTGCAGAACGGAGGCGACAGACGCAGAAGAAGGCAAGAGGTGGTTGATCGGGGGGGACAGGCCGAAGTTATCGCGAGCATTGCGCTAGACAAGTTTAGCAAAAGGCTTCAGGCACATATCGGAAGAGTGAATCGGTCTCCCATTACGGCTGCCGTAAGTCAACTATGCTCATCAAATAGAGTGACTATCGCTAACTGAACTCAGGAAATCTACGTCATTAGTAATCGAGACGTTGCTTCGATGCGCAATCTGGATCTTTGGCTAGAACAGATCGATACCACGGAAACAATGCCCCTTTTCTCTGAGGAACCGAAAGATTACTCTCTACCCTGTTTGGGTGATGTTTTATCACCTTCTGATCCGTCATGGCTCATTGATGTCGTGAGAGGCAGCGACATGTCTGCGGTCACACGATTGGAATTAGTACAGCAGTACCAGCAAGTATTCCAACTGGCCCGAAAAGGGAGTGACAAACAATTCCTTATGCGGTGCTTTGAACATATTCTGGCCAACATTGAGGAAGCTGCTGTTGGCCTTAAAGAACTGCTAAACGCGATGCTCCAAGCTCTCAGCACTGAGCCGACACTAGCTATAACCTTTACTCCATTTCTGTCTTCATCTCGCTCGGGCAAGAACCAAAACCTGGTTCTACTATTGGAGGCGTCTCTTTTACCTATCCTTCGGGCGTTTGTCTTGTCCGCCAACACCATGGGCCAGCTTATCTTGGAGCCGTTCAATAGCATTCTTTCCGCTGTGACACCCGGAAGCTTGTCGCTCCACGATATTGTCAACCTTTTGGAACTTGCAGCATTGACGATCCGATCAACAGATCTGGCTCTGGATCTCTTTCTGGAATGTCTGCAGCCCAATGCGTCTCGCTTCATGGTAACCGACCCAAAGGTAACCAGCCATTTATTACGAAACATGATCGCCATTGCCATGGATCACATTGAGGAAGCAAAGAATGTTGCCAAGAGACAGCAGGGACTTTATGAGCTGAAGTTATCCCCCAAGGACAAGAAAGGGAATCTGATTGAGATTGACTTTCGGATCGACACAACAGGAACACCAAAGAAGGGATCTCACGTGAGGCTGACGACGGCGTCACTGCCATCAAATGTTTTGGTGGGTGACAACTATTCTATTGATGCCCTCGTGGTCATGTCGGAAACGGGCCGTGCACGCTTCGAGTGTCTTCATCCGCTTCCGTCTTACTTCGAAGAATGTTCATGGATCTTGGAAGATTGCGGTCCGTTCGTCACATCAAAATCCATGATAGACGCTGTCAAAGACCTATGTATCTACCAAGAAGATTGCTGCGGTGTCGCAAACATCATCTTTGGGCTCCCATCCCCCAACATTCCACAACCAGATGACTACTTCAGCAGGATTGAGCGATTGAATGGCAGCCAAAACCAAGCCATCAAGTTTGCATTGAACAGCTCCCTTCTGTGTCTTTGGGGTCCGCCTGGGACAGGAAAGACAGAGACGATCGTCGAGATGATCTGCGCATTGCAGACGGCTAATCCTAAAGCGCGTGTTTTGGTGACGGCGCCGACACATAATGCAGTGGATAACGTGATGCGACGGTATATCCAACGTCTTCAGAAGCAACCATTAGCAAGGAAGACTCAACCCGATCTCGTACGAGTATCGACAGAGGCATGTTACCAATCGCCCATCCAAAATGGTGAAGTCAGCTGACTTTATGTAGGTACGCAAAGTAGCAGATGATCTACGCAAGTATACATGCGACGCCATGGCAGGCCAGGAGATCCACACCGACTACAAGGCTATGAAAAAGGCCATGGAAATGGTCAAACGGAGCGACACTATCTTCACCACTTGCATTGGAGCAGGCATTGGATTGATTCGCTCAGAGTTCTTCGACATCATTATTGTTGATGAGGCTTCTCAGCAAACAGAGCCGAGCTCATTGGTCCCACTTGTGAAGGGCTGCTCACAGGCCATCCTTGTCGGAGACCATGTACAGCTACGGCCGACAGTCAACCAGACTGCACTAGCACTCGAATTTGACGTGTCACTCTTTGAAAGACTTTACACAGAAGCCAAAGACTCCAAGGATAATGGCAGCTTGAGGACGTTGATGTTGGACACGCAGTATCGTATGCATCCGAGACTCTGCGAGTTCAG